AGCGACAACACTATTAACATGTTTCTTAACTAACTTCTATTCTTATATTATTTTTCTCTCCATAAACCACTAAGAAATACTGACCAATAAATCATATTGATATTGTTTTTTTAACCAATAAATGAGCATGCTAACTTTTTTTGTTTATACATTATTGTGTAACTGTTGGAAATAATGTCATAGAAAGTCAATTTATCCTTTGAAGTTGTTCTGTTTTTTGAATAGAATGAAACTGTTTATGATGTTAAACTGACAGTAGAATTCTGATCAGATTACTTTCAAGTATTGATGTGAGAAAAAGCATTTGTAGTAAGAGTTAATTGAGTTGGTAGGAAGCTATGCTTTGGTGATCTAGTGAACAATGCTTTAGCGTATAAAGTTATGAGTTCGAGGTTTGAGTCTCAAAGAGGATTATATCACTCTGTAAGGTACAGCAGGTACATCCAACTAATGAGTCCCATGTAGGACAATACATGCAATCTGAATTCCTTTGCTAGTCACAACCAAGTGAATCACTGTTGCCTTGTTAATAAAATAAATTGTTGGGATGAATTTTTAAAAAGATTTTGTCATGTATACTTATTGTATGAAATATTAGTAGTTACTAGTTTCCCAATTTAAAGGTTTGTAGGATTTTTTTAGTAATTTCAAATGGATCTTCATCACAAACTAACACTGCTTAGAGAGCCACTGGAAACCCAGAAACAACGGACAGCCATTTTGCTCTAATCTGACTCCTCAGCAGTACGCATCGACGACCAAACCGTTGGTTAAACAGAGGACATTCAGGTTCCTCGGCCGTCACGTAACCATTAAACCATTTGATTGGAAACCAATGGTCCAGACTTTCTTACTTCCGATTTGTGACATAGCATGACCCTCATGTGATGGCATCGATGATTATTTGTCCTCATATTTGACTAGGTTGCCTCACTGGCTACGATTCTGATTATAACTTCGTGAAATCTCTTTTCGAGGCGTATCACTAATGAGGACTGGATAGTTTTTTTTATTTCAGAGGTTTTTGGGGATCTGTTTATTCATTTCAAATTGGTATCCATCATGAACTGATATCACTTGGAGGACCATTCAAAACCTGGGAGTACTGAGTGTGCGCAGCTGAGGAGTCTCATACTAGATTGAAACATATGTCTAATGTCTAGGTTTTCAACGGTCCTCCAACTGATTGCGTTTAATGACGAAAATGTTGGCTTTGTTAATAGATTTTTAAGGATATAACGTGTACCTGGCTAAAAATTTAATTTCAAGATGGTATTCATCGTGGACTGACATCATTTGGAGGAACAACGAAAGCCTGGGAGCACTGGACCACTGTTTCGTTCCAGTATGGGACTCCCCAGAAGTGCGCATCCACGACCCCACCGGGGATCAAGCCCGCAACCTACAGGTTCCGTGGCCAGTACGTTACGTACTGGGTTGGAACCCAATGGTCCATAGCTGCAACTTCTGTCAGTTCACGACAAAACGCAACCGCCACCCAATGTCATCGCTGAGTAACTGTCTTCACGAGCATCGGGCTAGCCCCACTAGTCACTACTTCTCACTGAAACTTTATGAATCACCTCTCGAAGGTAGTCATTAATGAGCACCAGTTCATTTGAATTTCGAGGAGGTTGTGGGGATTTAGAAATATTTCAAGATGGTATTCATCGTAGACTGACAGCTGTCCAGTGCTCCCAGGTTTCCACTATTCCTTCAACTGATGTCAGTCTACGATGAATACCATCTTGAAATATTTCTAAATCCCTACAACATCCTCGAAACTAAAAATTTAACTTTGCATATGTTTATTTCTCCTATGACAATGTCTGAAGGATGCATTGAATACAGTCCTTTACGTGGTGTTCCCACATTCGATGATTTCAATTTCTATGTTGTATCAGGCACAAATATCATTGTACATATAATCTACGTTAACAAATAATGGAACCAATGTAACTAAGGCTGGTACAGATTAATGTAGTCAGTCATTAGCTACAGTTATCGTGTAAGGGAATATGATATTACTGGTGTTCTTAAGCTGAAGAAGGTGAAGGAAGGTTCGAAATTAGGTCCTACTCCCTAGAAATCGAGTTTTTAAGCCACACTGCCACATCTCCAGCTATAACACTAACTTGAGACGCCTATACCTAGATAATACATCGAATTGTATGATGAATAAGGATCTATATATACAGATAACACTTCTGTTGTCATTATTATTATTTGTCTTTTGGGTTCCTACATGAACGTTGGGCTTCACCAGCACGTCACCATTTCACTCTCTTCTCTACAGTCTGTTCAAACTGGCTTCAACACTATCAGTAAGCTTTTATTTCTTACTCACATGATCTCCTCCATTCTACCCTCATCTCACACACCCAACTCGTCGTTTCCCCATTGGGTTCCACTTGATGGCCTGGCCTGGCTTGATGCATGATGTCCCCGAACGTTCGTCTCAGTCTATGTCCAATCCAATCCATCTGCATTTTCTTCTTCTGCATATTTATTCAGCGATAGGTTGTTGGTTGGTTGGTTCGTTGCCAGCCAGCCAGAGTTCCTCCCTGCTTATTCTTATTGTTCTGGCCATCTGATCTTCAGTGTCAGTATTGAGTAAGTCTAGGTAGCAGCTGTTCATCTATGTCTGCAGTTTATTGGAAGTTCTCTTCGTTAGGCGCCAAGTTTCTGAACCATCACATGGTCGCACTGACTTGACTGACATTAGTGTTGTTCACGCTTTGTGCTGAGTGAAGTAGATCTCTACACTGATTTCAGATTGCTGAAGACCTTTCTTTCTGTCTTTGTGATCCTAGCTTTGAAGTTTTCATCTGTGCCTGTGCCGTCTGTAGTTGAAACGATGCTGCCTAGGAAGGTGAAAGGGACAACTTCCTTTAGATTTCTCCTGTTCATGGTGATCGCTGTTGTTGGCTTCAAATATTGTGCGGACATTCCATGTCTCCATGTTTACTTTTGCTTTCATCGAGAAAAGGTACATCGGCCAATTGGCTTCTTGAAACCTTTCAACAATCGGCGTCATTTCATCTTCCCGATTCCATCATGGAAGAAGTTTACTTTTACTTCATATATTTTCTTTGTGCTTTGAAGCTTTTGTAAGCAAACGGATTGATTATAGGGGGTAGAGTTGCTAGCCCTATGCCCAACCTTCCCTCTTTATTGGGGCTTAGGACCATCTAGTGACTAGTTAACTAGTAAACTAATAGTGATTTCACTGCAATAAAGCATAATCACCTACAGCACAATGTATTTCAATGAAAAGGATTTGTAAAGCCTGGTAGTGTGCTTCATAGGAAAATACTTGGGGTGTAATTATGGATTCCACCTCAAATACAATGGACTTGAACAGAAATCTGGCAATCTTTTGTCAAATAACACAGAAATTAATGTTTTTTCGTTCATCTATACAATTTTTGCATCTTACTGCTACGATCGGAAAAGCAAGACAGGCGTTCATTAACCTGAAACCAGTGTGGAGATCTTCTGCACTCAGCATGTGGAACAAGATACGGATTTTCAACACCAATTCAGTCAAGTCACTGCTTCCATGTGATGCTTCAGAAACTTGGTGTGTTACGAAAAGTATTTCCAACAAACTACAGATATTCATCAACAACTGCCTACGCTGGCTCGTTACTGACACTGGCGAGAATAATCAGAATAAGCAAGGAGAAACTGTGGCTTGCTGGCTGGCAACGAATCAAACAACTAAGAACCTATCGCCCAACAAGTGGAAGTGGAGATGGATTGAACGGGGCATACACTGAGAAGGCCGACTGGTGACATCACGCGTCAGGCCAGGCACTCGAGTGGAACTCCTATGGGAAACGACGAGTTGGGTGTGGGAGGCGATGGTGACATGGAGGAGATTGTGTGAGGAAGAAATGAGAGCTTGTGTGCAGTCATGGAGTCAGATTCAAAGTTTGCAGAGAAGAGAGTGGAATGGAGACGTGCTACTGAAGCCGTATGTTCCACTAGAAGCCCAAGGGACAAATAATAATAGTAATAATAATAATATAATATACAGCCAAGCACTTTCTCAAAGTTATCATTCATCGCCCAGATTGTTATGCATGTTTACTTTGAGCAAGAAGATTAGGTATTATGCAGAAGACAGTAGTTAGTGTAAATAAAATTTGTCTCTCAACTTCTTCAAAGGATATGTAACTTGAGTATATTTTCGATAAGTTTTCCTTAGAGTTTATTTTCAAACCAGTTGATATGCATCGCCAGTCAACGATAACAAAGATAGGGATTATGTAATCACGTACAACAAAAAAATATTTATCCTAGTGGTAATATTAGTAATGATTATGAGAAAGCAATGATAATATAAACTAATTTTCCAACAGCTAAGTTTGATCCGGGCTTAAAAACCGCTATGACTGCTGCACGATATTTAAGAACGTAACTGGTGGAGAAACAAAGTTTACATGTGACTATAGTTGTGTGGTTAGTGGCAAGGATGTCACTACGCCTGTTAATGAAGCTATCGCGACAAAATGTCATAGCTCAGAGAACACCAAACTATCATGATCCTCAGCCTGAGCTACAAATCTTTTCAATCATCTCAATCATGTCTTTTCAATTGATAAAGACAAGGTGTTTCATTGAGTCTCCGTTGACCAAAGTAGAAGTAAAGGCTATACCAATTTCTCATGAATATCATATAGTATTCCTAAAGGATGTAGGCAGTGAAAATGATCAAAGCAGTCATAGTAATCTAGTGTAATATTATGTGAAAAAGAGTCTATAACCACATAAAACGTGTTTTCTCTCTGAAAAAAATACTCTAGCATTTGCTAAATATAGTCAGATCTATACTCTACAAGCAATACATAGGTGGATATAGGAAACAATGAACTATCTTCATATGGACCTGTACTACTTCTCATTTTTACCATATTTCTTTTTACTTTTCTCTTGTTTAATTTCTACACTTCGTTATCATAAATTTTTATGCCTGTTTTTATTTATCTTTGCAGAGATACACGTGTGGGTTGTTTAAAACCAATTAGATTGAATGAACCATTAACATCGATAGGCAAAGCATTCGCTGAAGTGGACAATGCTATTGCACATGTTGTATCGAATGCATTTCATCACCAACAATCAATGGAACATCATTATCATCTGGGACAACTGTCATGACAACAATGATAACGGCAACAGCAACATCAGCGGTGACGGCTGCAGCTATGGTGATGACTACTAAAACTACACCCAGCATAGATCATTTTAAGAATAATTTTCAAACTAATCTCAACAAATCAAATAGCAATGACAATACACACTTTATTCACACTAACAATCATACTACTATTGACAATATTAGTAGTTGTAACAATAACAATGATGAATTCATCAACAAACTGAGTAGTAATATTACTGATAAGCGTATAACAAGTAGTAGAGAATTTCTTCCTACACAAACATTACATTTCCCTCCGATATTAGATACACCATGGGAAGAACCTGATTGTAGTGAAGGTAAGATATTTTTCTTGTTGTGTTCCATAACATCAAATAAATTTTTGTCTATCTTATACATCATTTAAATATGATTGTTTTTATAGTGCTATCTGAGATAGCTGTGCTTTAACGAATTTGTATTACTGATACAGATTGATGATTGGAGGTGAATAGCAAACCAAGATTGTGGCAGTATTTGATCTCATGAAATTTCAGTTACCTACCGAGCTTCACGAATAAGCTGCAATGACCGAGATTTTCATTTCAATGTCAATTATCATCTTATTATAAAAGTGGGATATAATGAAGGTGTTCTATTCCTAAATTCACTTTATTGGCATTACGCTTAGAAGTGATATCAACATTGATACAATATCACTTACTACATGACGTTTTGTGTACAATTTAATACTCATAATCAGATAACTAAGTGGTGAAATTATAATTTCAGAGGTGGCTGTGATATGTATTACGCATACCCAGTCACTGTCTAACTCGTCGTGCAATATTAGCTGAATAAGGTCCAAGCTGGAAAATTGCTCATTGCAGCCAGACGAAAATTTGTTATCAATGCGTGAAACTCTCGATTGTTAGTCTCAGCCATGTAAGAAAATGTAGACTTCCCCTTGTTTGGGGTCTGAATGACAACAAAAACTAGTGATTGGAGACTGTAAGTAATATGACTCAGAATCAATGTTAATGGAGCACATGCACCAACACATTATTTCCATCTTAATCACTATACTGAATTCAGTATTGTATCACTCCTCCTTCTTATATTTTGATGATTTTCCACCACATTTGACTACTTTCTTATCGATTACTTCATTTCTTATCTTAGTGGTTTCTCGTTTGATGTTGTTGCTGTTGCTGTTGCAACTTCAACTGTCATGACAGAATGTCCAGTCCTACGTTCATACTGATGACGATGATGATACTCAGCAACACCTAGTAGTTTTACTTTGAGAGGAAGTAGTAGGAATAATAATAATAATAGTAGTAGTAGCAGTATTGATTCGATAGACAAAGATTTAGGGATCAAATCCGGCGTTCGGGAGTTTTATCTTTTCCTATATGCGTTTATATTAAATTTTGGAGTTGCTAATCTATCGAACTCTGAAGTAGGATCATGCATCATCCTAACATTCCATTTAGTTACTTATTTTACAAGGTTCTACTATTCCATGTTTCACTCAATCTCTGTGTTATAGTACATCTTGATTTACCTTCATTAGTGACGTTAACCAGTGTGCGATCATGACAAAATATTTGATACAAATGGCTAATTTTCTTCGATGAGTCTATGATATCTATCAGCCTACAATATTCCTCTCTAAGTTGGGTTTAGGGTGAATGTGGAGAAGACAGAGGTGATTAAGATACCCAACCAACAACAACAAACACCAATCATCACCAACGGGAGAAACCTATAGCAAGCAGCCTCCTTCACCTATCTAGGCAGCACTATTTCCATTGCAGGCGGCACAGACGCAGACGAAGACGTCAAAACCAGCCAGGATCGGAAACACAGCAACACACGCTTGCATTAACCTAAAACCAGTGTGGAGATCTTCTACACTGAACTCAACATAAACAACAACATACGGATTTCCAACATCAATTCACTCAAGTCACTACTTCCATGTGATCCTTCAGTAACTTGGCGCGTCACCAAAAGCGTTTCCAATAAACTACGATATTCATCAACAACTGCCTACACTGGCTCGTTAATCAAACTCAGATGAGATGGCCAGAATAATGAGAATAAGCAAGGAGGAATTGTGGCTGACTGGTTGGCTGACTGGCTGGCTGGCCGTCTGGCTGTCAGGCTGTCTGGCTGTCTGGCTGGCTAGCTGTGGCTGACAACGAACCAACCAAATAAGAACCTATCACTCAAGAAACGTGCAGAAGGAAGTGGAAATGGAGATGAATTGGATAGGGCATGCACTGAGAAGATCATTCGAGGACATCACGCATCACGTCAGGCTCTGGAGTGGAATCCAGAAGGGAAACGGCGAGTTGGGTGTGGGAGGCGATGGTGACATTGAGGAGATGGTGTGAGTAAGAAATGAGAGCCTGTGGGTGGTGGTGTATCCAGGTTGAAAAGATTGCAGAGGAAAGAATGGAATGGTGTTGTGCTACTGAATCCGTATGTTCCATGAAAGGAGAAAGGGGTTGAATAATTTTCTTTTGCCTACGCAGTTTAGTTTTCTCCATATGGATGGCATGAGCTTTGATGCAGAGAACATGAAGATATACAAACCTTGGAAGCTTTCTCTTCACTTTATATATGACTTTAAACAAGGAGGTTCTTGAGATTGAGTGATTCGTGTTCACGATGTGTTCCATTTTATCGCCGCTTATCGCTCCATTGTTACCTTTTTTTTGTAACCACGCAGGATACTGTTGTTGAACCCTTTTGGATAACAGTCACATCGAACGACCTATATACCTGGCTGTACAAGAGCAGGTGAATTGCGACTGTTATCCAAATGGACTCAAGAGCACGATCCCAAGTGTTTACAAGGAAGTAACAATGAAGCGATAAAAAGTGCTATAATTGACCACATATTATAAACACGAATCATTCAATCTCAAGAACCTCCTTGTTTAAAGTCATCTATAAAGTGAAAAGAAAGTTCCAAGGTTGCATATCTTCATGTTCTCTGCATTACCAAAGCTCGTGCCATCCATATGGAGAAAACTAAACTGCGCAGGCAAAAGAAAATTATTCAACCCCTTCTCATTTCATGGCCATAATTTCCAGTCTATGAAACCTCCTTCCACCTTTTCCTTACATCCTTCTGTTTTGACACTATTCACTTCTTAAGTAATTTACTACTCATTCTTGTTGCTATACTCTGTCTTATCACAATTCAGTTTCCAATTATATCGTTATGTTACGAGACTTCTTGTTCAAACTTATTTCGCTGAATATTCACAACTCAACAGGTTTTGGTTTTTTTAATTTCAATGACAGCTCATTTTTTGACACTATTTATGTTGTCTGCCATGTTTAACAAACTGTTTATAACTATCAAATCCTTACACTAGAAAAATGTATAAATCTATGATTGTATAGCTTTGAAAATTAAATCGCCGAAAAGAGACTCTTTGCTGAAATATTTACTTGTATTGATTGGTCATAGGAGTGCAACCTATTTCATGTTTCTAGTCCTGAGTGCAAATCAAATCCTATCCATCATATTTGTAATATGGCAACCAAGCTAAGAAGCTCAGCATCATGGTGCACATTAGCAGATGTGCAATCGGCCACCGATTACTTCCAACCAACTAACATACTTACTTGTTCTTCTTCCAGATCCTTATAGGTATATTTCACATAAATAAATAACCGGTTGTTGATTAGCACTACTGAAGAGTTCTTGATTGATGGTTAGTTGACTCACTGATCCTCATTCATGGTTGTATTTGAAATCGGTTTTCAAGCCTTCTAGCTTGAACTTGTGATCAGTGTATGACCGACCGAACTTAGATGAATGCCTACCGGCGGTATACAATCATGGTTTGGATATATTATGAATTGACTGAAATAAAAAAACGCATATTTCTAGGTTTTGAAGTAGTGGTTGAATAGTTATATGCGATCCTTGAAACCTGATGGTTATGATCCCAACTCCAACCCCTGTTAGGTTGCATTGATAGAGAATTCAAGAATTGGAAAGAATATTTGTTTAATGCTGTCTTCATCTACAAGACTTCTTAGATCACTTCAATTTCGTGTGAAAACTGTCTTATAACTGACTGATTCCCTTCACACTAATCAGACAATTAATTAGTCACATTCACTCCTTCTGGATGAACAGAGATTTGATAGGAAAAGAACCATACTGATTCATGGTGGGAGAGAAAACGAAGCCATGTAGAAAAAAAAAAAAGGTGATAACCCAGTCATACTTTACAAGCTGATAAACTGCTGAATATCTTTTTGATGGTTCCGGATGATAGCCTATATTGATTTGTCACTAAAGTATAAAAAGTGTCATGTTTTCTGCACTCAAGTGCCAACAGAATTGTATCGATCACATGTGCTATGTTGTCTTAAGCTAATAAACTCACCATTGAAATGTGTTCTGATGAGAGCGAGGTGGTTGACGTCAACCAAGAGAGAGAGAGTTCTAAGTTATGTTTTCTGGCCTTTCTCAGCAGGTCTTGTCTGCAAGCTCTAAGGAATTCACACTTTCTTCGAGACGCAAAGCTAGGTCATTCAGTGTTGGGGTCACAAACGCCTACACATCTGCAGCCGTGAGTAACTTATTGGTAATACTAGATTAGGATCTCTGTCCTGACAGTGGTTTTTTCAAGAGTACAAACATGTTATTCCACTGATAGGCAACACCAATGAAGGCTTAAACAAACACAACTTTCTACAGACCAGCTTCAATCATCTAAGATAGTAGCTTAAAAAGATACCAACGTGTTCAGTAATTTTTATTCTAACTGGTATATTAAAGCTCAGTTTTATTGCATTAAGTTAAGGCTGTACAACACTGAGCCCATATAAAATTATCTTAAAAGTTGTTTCCTATAAGAAATCATACCGCTGGAGATATTACTTAAAAGAACAAAGAAGTAGTAAACATATATCGCTTTTTAGTATGGTGATTCTGCATAGTGTTTTCACCGAGATTCGATGATTTCCAATTAAACTGCCTGAAATGGCTATGTTTCCGAAGACTGGTTTTTGTATAATTCAGTGACAATTGATGCTGACACGAAAACGTCAGCTGCGAAAAGATTTGAACCAGTAACCTCTATATTATTGGCTAGGTAGTCTCTCAACTGACTAATGATGTCTAACTAATTAACTAACTAAGGTTTAATCACCATCCAATCATTGAAAGTTGCCACTGGCTTTATGTGACCAAGTCACACATAGCTGTTCCTCTGATGTTATCATACTAGTTGAATAAAATTGACTACTTATCTCCTGTCAGCTAAAACGATAACGTAACTAATTATTCTTGAGACTATCTTATATGAAAATAGTTTTAATC